CATATATTTATAAGCTATGTGGGTGTGTGCCGCTGTGAAGGGTATGGTTTTCAGGCAGTTTATTCTGGGATAGGGTATAGAAATCAGACATTTTGGTCTAGAGTAGTGTATAGTTAATTTTATCGGAAAAGAGGCCTGTTTATATTAAATAATTTAGTCTAGAGCAGGGTCCTTTACTTGGGGTTCTGTAATAGCAATTAGAAAATAGCCCAAAGAAATTATGTGTGCTGATTGGTTTAAAATCATGTTTCTATTTAACAATAAGATTATTAGCTCGAGATTTCTATCGCGCGATAGTTGACGAAGGCGCAGCCCGAGTCAATTATCACGCATAGAAACTGAGAGCGAATAATCTAATTGTTTCAATACAAATCTACTAGTCGTTCGAAACTTTATCTAAATCCTCTTCAGAGGCACTTCGAAAACGCAAAGAAGCGGCCGCCAGTTCTTATTGCAACCACCTCTTGCAAAGTGAGGGGGTTCGTCGTTACGGGTAGTCAAATTGCAAACCGTGATTGTTTTTTGACTGTGTTAAAGAGAGTGGTTGATCCTACCCTATCCCAACGAAAAGAACCGCTGATCACAGGTTATTTGCACGTAGTCACGCAATGCATCACGTTAAATCACATGAGTGACACGAGCTGTATGCGTTACATCCACAGGAAGCAAACTCATACCAGACTTTTTCTTGGACGTCGAGGACTCGTCTGCTCAAGAGATGATCGGCGCACACAAGAAGAGCACGGAGAGTGCCGCTCAAGGGAGTCAGGCAGAGGGAGTTGCAGGATTGTTCGACACGATCAAAAGCCTTTGTAATGAAGAACTCGTTAAGAGCGTCAATGGAGTTTTCGAATTTCATTTGGAAGGGAAAGAGCCTGGAGTGTGGTATCTTGATCTCAAGAACAATTCAGGTAAAAAACGATTCTCCAACGCTTCGGTTGCTATACAATGTGATTTACAAACAACCATTGTGGACTAGAGCTTTCCTTGTCATCCAACAGGTCAACCTATTGTAGCTTTGTAGTTGCGTAACACAGCAAGTCTGTCCACAGACTCTACTTCTCTTGAGTTCATCGAAATCGCAAGCAAAAGTATTGACCGTAGGGGATTTGAAAAAGTCCGAACGCAAGAGGGTGGCGAAAATAAACCTGTCTTAGGACAGACTAAACACAGTGTAGATATGTGTGGCGATAGTATTTAACAGTTCGAAACATGGAAAAGAAATCGTCGATAAGAACGTCGATTTTCCTGTGTGCTAGTTGTGTTTCCGTAGCGTTTTAGGGCTGTTTCAAAGCGATTCCAGCGAGTTTTAGTTCCATTGTTTGCCTCAAATTATGAGTAAAATTGCGTTGCTCGTGACCCCATCGTGATAATGTTCGTCGGAGCATAACGTGTTCATGTTTTTTGTGTTCTCAACAGGAAGCAGCGGCAGTGGTTCTTATCCGGGGGGTGGAGCTAGCTGTACCATGACTTTGGACTCAGATGATTTTGTGGCGTTGTTCAAGGGTCAGTTGAATCCAACTCAGGCATTCATGGCAGGAAAACTCAAGATTAAAGGCGACATGATGGTGGCTATGAAACTGGAGAAGCTCATGGGACAGATGAAATCCAAACTATAACCAACACGAGAATGCGTGACTCCTCTCTTGTGACCTTAAGTGTCACGCAAAGTCGGAAATCGTGATTGCAAAATATTGGAAGAACTTCAGAAGATTCTTCTTTAGGTATATATATTTTTAAGATGAACATACTTTCGTCTGTCGTTTATATTCTTTCAAAGGTGATCTGCTAAAGTGTAAGAATTTAATTCATCGCCGTGCATTGCACATCACTTTTCGCGTCAGTTTATGAGATGGTATAGGGAAGATAGAACTTGGTCATTGAAATTTTTTTGAACACAAAGAGGACGCTGAACTTGACATGTAACGTTAGGAAACGTTATTGTGAAATTGGGACTTCATTTCTATGAAGACAAGTTATTAAAGCTCTACTGAAAATGGTAATGGAAAATTGCTGATTAATTACGGCTGTTGTTTTGTCCTCTTGTTTTGTTCTCTTGTTCTCTACAAGGCAACCTCTCTTGCACCGGCATTACCCCAGACTACTCTTCTGGCGGGATGAGGCGGGGCTTTTGCAGGTATGAGAAATGCAAACCACCACTTGAATGACCCCACTTGAACTGCAACGCAGAGGGAACTCTGCGAAGGAAAACGAATGAATTTGGTTGTTCAGTACTTCTATTCCTTATCGCCACTTTTCACAAAGGTAAATTTGAAAAGCGAGAAATTTGCAATCGATCTCGAGGCTTGTCGGGCCTTTTAAGTTAGAACAGGTATGTAAGACTTTTTCCAGCCCTCACTATAGAGCATTTTCACGTGCCATCATGTCATCAATGCAGGTATTTGCAAACAATGAAATTTCTTTTCTCTGGTAAATGTTTTTTTTTTTTTTTGGTATGTAAACATTTCATATTCAAATTTTGGAACACCACTAATAAGGCGGCCGTGGAAGCGTTCCACACCCGGGAGGGGGAGCACTGTATGGTCCCCGAAATGATCCCCAACCCTAAAATGATTCCCAAATCGACCCCGTAATGATCTTCATTTTTTTTCGCGTCGACCCCAAAATTCACGAAAATCATGAATCCACATCTACACCAGAAAATGTCTGCCTACAGAGAGACAGCTGCGAAACTGGAAAATGGCTGCGGATAATAAAGAGTACGTGACTGTTCTATTTAACAATTAGACCCGTGGCCCTTGAGGGCGA